AAGAGTTATGAAAATTCTTCTTCAAAATTTCCTTGATTTCTGCTGATGTTCTCTGTTCCTGTAAACAACCATGACAGCTGGTAGCTGTGCAGACCACACATGCTTATTCACTCATAGCCTTTCTTTTGGTTTAATACAGTTGTGATAGAGTATTACATTTTTCCACAGGCAGGGAACCCTTGGAAGAAAGATCACAGTTATTCAAGGATAACAAGAACGTGAACTGCTACTGTGATAAAATACTTCAATGGTGCTGATGCAGGAGTTCCGTCTTCAGGGCGCTGCCGTGTTCTCACAGTGTGGCATTTGGCCTTGCATACCCGAGACTCAAAAGGTTAATCCCCAAAGAGAGGCACAAAAAAGGGCTGGGCTTTGGAGTGACAGATGAGAAGTTCCATGTCTCAGCTCCACAGGAGCTGCTTTTTGCGGAGCTCGGGGCTAAGCTTGTAAATCACAGAATAGAAGGTGGTAGAAAATTCTTGTGGTATTCAGATCTTGCTCTTGGCTCTGGATCTGGCCTTTCATTTTTTGATTCCAGACCCCATTAGCATGCATACAGTGTTAACTAACGTTAGCCCTGGGCAACCTGATCTAGCTGTGATGTCCCTGTTCACTGCAGGGGAGTTGGAGTAGATGGCCTTCAGAGGTCCCTTCCAACTCTATATGATTCTATAAATAACTTTGTTGTATGAAAAATATGAAAGCTACAGACTGCACGTCACAAACGTGGACCTGCATATGCAACTCATGGAGAATGAACTGAAAATCAGAAGACTTCAGTTTTTTCATGCAAAGATCCTATAGAAATTGGAAAGAGTAAGAATGTTGAATATATGTGTTCAGCTTTGTCTGGTGGGGTATACAATAATAATATTAAGATGACCATAGTTGTTAAATCTTTTAATCTTGCAGTTAGCCAGACTGCTGCAATTTACAATGCTGTGATTTACTTTGCATGCTCTGGTAAGTGACACCATGGCTTTATTTCAATTTAGTTCAAATTCTTATGTTAGTAGTGTATAGCAATATGAAATGAAGCCAAATAATGAATACTCACAACATTTTTTTGGTCCAATTCTTTTATGATTTTCTGATTGCTTCTCAGTGCTTTCTTTGCAAGATAATATATTTGAGCACTTTTAAATTACAACAAAAGGATGGCCTGAATTATTACTGTTTGATCACAGCTATTGTAATATGTTAACTGGTGCCTCCTCACTACTGCCAGTGTTACTATTGACATGATGAATGTCTCAAATACAGAAGAAGTTTGTATTCCATAGACAAGTTTTGAGTTAATGTTCAGTTGATAAAGAAACAACATGACATTGCCAGAAGTCATGCTCCGTTTGCTACAGGAACTTGTGCATTCTCTATAAATATAAAAACATTTCCAATTTGCATTGCTCATCCTAATTTTCTTTTGATCACACTTATTTTGTGGGTGCTGTATTTATACCTCTTTCCATTACTTGCAATTAATCTGGCATTAATCTATTAATATAACTGCAGAAGTGTCAAGCAGACAGCAAAAGGCTTAGTTTTTAATATGCCAGCGTGGAGCAACCCACAGTAAGGTCAGACTGCTCACACTGGCTTCTGTCTCAGGTCAGGAGAGGTCTCTGGTAGCCAGTTTTGGAAGCTGGCACAAACTTGCTCTGTCATGTGCTAGCTGGGGAAAAGTTCAAACATTCAAATCTGGGCTCAAAACACAGGCAGTAGGAGCCAAGATGCAGCTCTTAAAGAGAACAGTTAGTGTGTATTTCTACCTGTCCCACAGATCTCCTTTGAAGACCATTATCTTTTGAAGTTTATGTTTGGAAGTGCCTCTTCAAATATGAAGTAAGTTGGGGAGCTGGGATGGAGAGTACCTATGTCTGGAAGTGTGGTGTTCAGCAGTGGCAATCATTCAGCACGTGTTTCAGAAGATTTTGAAGCAGAAACATTCTGGAGCCCAGATGGACCGATGCATTACTATGAATATAACTGGGCAGCCTCTATCACCTAAAAATCAAAGTGACTGCTGTTACGTCTTGTCACCTTTGACTGCTCAACCCAATGGCCACAGTCAACTAGAATCAACAGAGCAAATCTATGGGCTATGTTTAAACATGTATTTACAATGCAGTACTCAACAGTGGTGTAACAGCATGTCTTTGGGTGAAATGTACACTACTGAGGGAAAGCTGCTCTAAAAATGGAGCTCAACTTCATGTAGCAGCAGCTTAAGAGTCAGTGCACATGAAATATCTTACCATCACCATCACATCTGAAGATGTGAGCTTAGACCCTTAGTTTGGGATGAGTAGTTGTTAGCATTCAGACAAAAATCTTTTTCTGCTTTCACCTCCAAAACTTCTGCCCCAAGAACTTCACAAAATAATAATCAGTTTCTTGCTGGTGTTATCAGATGAAATCAAAGCTCTGACTTTCCTGGCACCCTCACAGTAAACTCCACATAAGGCTGAGAGAGGTCAACCAAAACTTGGAGACAAACCCAGCCTTACTTAATGAGCCTATTGTTCATTAATAGTGACACTGCCAGTTGTTGCAGTGCATTTGAAGTCAGTGAAATGGGAAAGTGAAGGAGGAAGCAGCCAGTGATAATGAGAAGGTTGAGGGCCTGATCCCACCACCTGGCAGATGTGCTCTGGGGTTGCTAAAACCATAGGGAGAGAGCACTGGATGAGAGTGTCTCGCTCCAATTTATAGGAGGGAGATGAGGTTCTTTTAATATCTGTATACCTGAACTTGTTCGTCTGTGTCCTCAGCAAGCTTTGAGACAATGATGATGCAAAATAATAATCTCTTACAGGGAGGAGAAATGTGGACTATCTGAACAACTGTTTCCCAGGGCACTGATGCGTTCTGCAGCGCGTTTAGGAGGATCAGGAAGGAAAGAGGCTGTTCAGCTGAGCTTTCTGAGTAAGCTTATTTTGACCAAGAATGTTGTTCACAGGAATGCAAAAATGCTCTCATTGTTTCTAATGCAGAACAGCAAAATAAAAATCCATGGTGCAGACAGAACGATTTGGATTGTGAGAGTCCCAGCTCCGATCTCTCCACCACAAGAAGTGCTACATTTGTCACAGCGTGCCAAGTATTCTTTTGCTAATGCTGTCCTCCTGCACTATGTAAAGGATGTTTATAAGGTCCAGCTGCTATGTTTTACTGCTGTTAATGGGGATCGCAGCACTGCTGCAGAAGCTACAATGGTTTAAGTAAAATCTTTGAACCATTTCTGGGCAGGTATCCAGAAGCCAATGTCTGGCTAAGCTTGTAGGGCTTTTTAGACACAACCAAGCCTGATACTTGACACTCTGAATTCAGAGGTGTTAACATTAAGATTAAAAAGGCTGGTAGAAAAGTATGTGCTGGCACGATCGACAGGTAAATGAAGATCTTTGCTGATTAAAGACTTGCTGGGCTAATTGAATGAGCTCTGCTCAGATAAACCCAATGGCGATGCAGGAGCCTGTGCCCCACTGTTGTGCCATGAAGTCTTTAACCAGATCATTTAAATGCCTGTGCTCTGAGCCAGCCAGTATAGAGAATAAGGTCACCTATGTGGTATACCTCATTGCTCTCTCTTTGCTAATGCTCCTCTTTCAGAGGCTGTGCACATACTGATTGAAAAGCATCTTCTGGGATTTCCCTGCTTCTGGAACTGCTTCCATGCTCAGAGGTGTTGGAAATACAGAGCAATCTGTTTATAACCTCCACAATTCAGTGTTACAATGTCTGCAGTGACAATCAGCGTAGAAAAAGTGTTGTCACCTGCATATTACTGGAAAACATGTGGGAAAAGATATTGCGTAGGCTGTGCATTTACCAAAATTTCATTCACAGCAAAGCAAATGGATGATCTCACTAACGATGATGCAAGTTTACAAGGACAAAGGAAACTCTCCAGTGGTGAGAAAGCGACAAGCCTGTCTGCGTAATCCTAGGCTGGATGTGGCTCTGGGCAGCCTGGTGTAGTGGTTGGCAGCCCTGCTCGTGGCAGGGGGGTTGAAACTAGATGATCACTGTGGTCCTTTTCAACCCTGGCCATTCTGTGATTCTGTGATTCTATGATAATGACCAGAACCATCTGGATCACTTCACTACCATTCATTCAAGCAGTAGGACATCAGGTAAAACTCTGTCCTCACTGCCACAGAGAGGAGCAGGAGAAACACAGCGAAACAAGAATCAAAACACAAAAAGCATCGCTCTTAGGTAGGATACCCTGATGGTGTTTTGATTAAAAAACAAATATAAAGAACATGAGGAAAACAGAGCAGTAAAGTCAGGTGCCTGGGAAGCAATCAAACAAAGCTTAACCCTGACAGAGTCCAGCAGAAAGGAACTGGCTGTGGGACAAAGCCACGGTGAGGGTGTGTGACCAGTAGCACACGGGGCATGCGGAGACACGTGAAGAGATGCTGAGCACCAAAGCCAGATGCTGATACGGCGCTGATGTCAGGCTTGAGGCAGCTAGCCAAAATCAGTCTATTGGCTGTTGATGAAAGCATTACGTTATCTCCTAACGTGAACTGGGTTGAAACTACACGGAAAGAGGTTACTGAGAAGACCCATCCGAATGTTCTTACTGAGAGAGTGGTGAGGTGCTGGAACAGCTGCCTAGAGAGGTTGTGGATGCCCCGTGGTGTTCAAGGAGGTGTTCAAGGCCAGGTTGGGTGGGGCCCTGGGCAGCCTGGTCTGGTATTAAATGGGGAGGCTGGTGGCCCTGCATGTGGCAGGGGGGTTGGAGATTTCATGATACTTGAGGTCCCTTCTAACCCAAAACTCAGGGACAAGTTAAGGTCAAGCTGGAGCTGAAGTACTCCTTCAAAGGAGACTGTAGTCTGCGAACCAGGGCAGGATCACCTCCCTCACCCTGCTGGCTACACCCTTCCCTTCCAGCCGCGGACCTCCCACAGCTTCAGTTCCTCACACGACAGCCCAATGCAGCCTCCCCTCGCGGTCCCTTTAACCCCGCTTCCCCACAGCTTCCCCCCCCCGGGGGCGGGGCTGCGCGTTGAAGCCGAAGCGCGGCGGTGCGGGGCGGGGCTGTGCGAGCAGCGGTGCGGGCTGAGCGGTGCGGCGGTCAGCGACTCTTGTGCTCGGGGCCGGGCTGTCAGTAGCACGCTGTTCCTCGGTGCGTTCGCCGAGCTCGGCGATATGTTGCAGGCGTCTTGCTGCAGTCGAATTTACTTGTGAGTTTTGGAAAGCGTGCATGGAGGAAGTTTCCTGCTAACCCAGCACCCGTTCCTTTGGGTATCGTCTCCGCGTTCTTATTGACGTTCGGGGAGCGGCGGTGCGCTCAGCGCGGCCGTTTTTTTACCGAAAAGCTGAAGGCATCCGTTCATTTTACATCTGGAGTCGGTTTTCAGGTACTTTTCCATTCGTGCGTCTGATGTGAATTTGTTGAGGAAGCTTACTGTTTCTGTGTCAGCGGGGAGAAGAAACTTTGAGTAAGAAGCATAGCGAGAACTCAGCACGTCAGCTGGGGTAGATGGGCTGAATGGATCCGTGGGGTTCCGTCTTGCTTCCAGAAAGCTGGAAGGGGGATGCAGGGCAGGAATGAGGGGAAAGGCACGTGGAGGAGCTTCTGAAGAGACGTGCTGTGTGCCTTGCACAAACACAGACCTTGGCAGCAACACACAGCCTTAACCCCGAGGTTAATGTTGGGGTACGGCAAGGGAGCAGTGCTGTGAAGTTTCTGCATTAGGGTATCCTATCAAAACTAAAGCCTCTGTGTGCGTATAAGCCTCTATTTGGCAGTGCTCGTGCACTTCTGTACTGTGTTAGTGCACCAGTTGCTTAGATGGAGTGAAATGTAGCCCCTGCAGAAGCACTGGCAGATTTTGGATTGCTATCAGTGCTGTGATGTTTGTCAGAGGTGAAACGTGTCTGGGTTGGGGAGAAGGTTAAGTGGTAAATTTTAATTCTGTCTATGAAGTCCCAAAAGCAAAGGTGGCATTCTGCAGTAGTAATGGGGAAACTGAGCTTGGGTTTGTCTCTGTTAATTAAGTATTGATTAGCCATTAATCATGGTACGGCAGAGGCATGTGAGGAACCTGGAGCTGGCTGTGTGCTCTCTTGGCACCATGTGGCTTTGCTGCTTTCCTGGTAGAGTCTGTGCCAGTGGTTCCTCATCTGACCTGCACTGGTTTTGGCAGGATAAAGGGTGACCTTGTGTGACTTTGGTTTTATTTTCACACTTGGGGTGCTCTGTACAATCCTAAAGGGTATGCTGGATTGCACTGGGCTCAGTGGCAGAGTATTTGGACTTCTCTGCTTTGAGTTTCTTTGTATTGTGTTGTGTCAGAAGACTGAAGACCTAGGCACCTTTCTCGTGGAATAAATAAGAAATAAGGAAAGTTAGGGCTGCAGTAACTATTTATCAGGCATGCAAAGCGTCTACAGCTTCTGCAAGCTTCACTCATACACTGGGTTAACAGCACTTCCAGAGGCAGGAAGTTGCCAAAGCAGGTTAATCTTTACAACAGCCAGTGCTAAATACCTGGCTTTTGGGGGATGTTTTCCAACTGGGCCATGCAGATGAGTAAACAAAGTAAGAGGGAAGAGCTTTCAAATTCAATTATTCCACGAAATTAACTGGCAAAGGGTGCTGTACAGTCAAGGTTTAGGAAGATCTTATAGGAAACGGGGGTAGAAAGTCTTCATGTTACAAGGAAGAGAAAAGAGGAGCTGTGGAGACACCTGCTGGTTTGGGGGAAGGCAGGCTTCTATGGGCTGGGCCAGGCTGTTTTTACAGCCTTTAGCTCTTTGCTAAGACTGGATGACTCGAGCACCTTGCAAAGCGTATGCCAGAGTTTGTTAGGATTTGTGATCACTTTGGCAAATTCTCTTCATTGATGTCTAAATTAGAGCAGGCTTTTGACTGTGAAAGGCCTTACACATGCTTAAAAGGCATGTGTATTCCTCTTTTATGATGATTATAGTGGTTGCCCAGATATGCAGCAGAAGGACAGGCTTGAACCCAGGTGCCTTTGTTCAGTATTCTTGCCTTATGATTATCAAAGGTATTAAATGGTTTAACCCTTAGCTGTTTGGTAGGTCCATTTTAAATGGACAACGGCTCAACATTTTAATAAAAAGCGTATATTTTAGGTAATACTAGTTTTATTTGTTGAAGCTTTAAATCATCTCTTTCACAGAAAGAAGAGAGAGTTATGTCAGCACTGAGTTGGAAGCCCTTTCTCTATGGAGGCTTAGCATCAATCACTGCAGAATGTGGTAAGCATTTCTGTAACTTTGTGATTCCTTTAACTCAGATATCGTCCCTTTTAGTACCAGCTGGGTTCTGTGCTGTCAGTGATGCGGTGTTGCATGGTCTTCTCTAGCATACAGCATGAGTATCTCTTCAGTACTGACTGAACAGTTGCTCGGAACTTCGTTTAAAACACTTCTGTCTGTAAATTCATATCTATGTCTTGTTTTAATGTGACATTTGTCTTTGGATTCTGTTCTTGGGGTGTATTGATCTGATGGGAGATATACACAGCTCTTGTTTTGCAAGGGAAGGCAAGTAAAGGTGTTGTGTTGCCTGTAAACATAGTGAACACGGAATAGTTGGGTGGGAAGCAGGTAGGCCTTCTGACAAGCTGTCTAGGAGGAAAAGGGTGATGACCTAAAATGAACTGCCTTAGCACTTTGCTGGTAAAAGAGACCATATGCTTTTCTTTTCAGGAGCATTTTTATATACGGTGGTGTTAAATAAAGGCTGGTGTTTCTTACCTCGTCTTCTTTGTCTCTTTTGTTTAGGTGAGCACTTGCTTAGCACTTCTGTTTGTCTTTTTTTTTCAAGGTACTTTCCCAATTGATCTGACTAAAACACGTCTACAGGTTCAAGGTCAAGTTAACGATGCCAAATATAAAGAAATCCGCTACCGTGGAATGATGCATGCCCTGGTCAGAATATTCAGAGAAGAAGGATTGAAAGCCTTATACTCTGGGTAATGCAAATTGAGTTGCAGTAGTATCTTCTGTCCAGTCTGTTGATGAGTATAAACCCATAGTGGTTAGACTCTCGGGTTTCAGGTTGATAAGTTATTTGGAGGAGATGTACTGTTCTTCTCAGTCTGTAGTTCGAAAGCTCAAGTTTAATCACTTCAGGCTCTGCTCTCAGCAATATCACCTGGTAGCTTTTTTTTTAATTACTTGAGAAATTATATGGCAAAGCATAACATTACTTTATAGAACGATGCTACAGTTCTTCCATCTATGCAGTGCTTCTATAGTGGTTTTGTTGTTCATCTGGAGAAAATTGAGCTTAACTTCTGTTAGTTTACTTTTTCTTATTTTGGCATGTATGTAACTATGCATGTTTTTCTTTAAAAGGTTTAAGTAGAGTGGATGTAGTTTGCAGCTATTTGAGACAAGCTTGCCAGCTATTTTATTGATCAAAGTTCAAGGCATGCTCTGAAAGTAATCCTCCCACAATTCATTTATGCTCTTGCAGTCTTTATTAAAACGATAAACATACACACACTAAAACCCAAAACAAGCCTCCCCATCCAAAACCAAACAAAAAAACCCACCTTGTTTTTGTCTCCAGTGGGATTAAAGTATAGATTTAAATGAACAAGCCTTTGGTCACTAGATTGCGTTCAGCCTCCTGCTTTAAAAAAGAGTATTTGTTAATCAGTGTATTGCAAATCTGAGCATAAATATTGTTATTACCCATTTTTACAGGATTGCGCCTGCAATGTTACGCCAGGCTTCATATGGAACTATAAAAATAGGCACCTACCAGAGCTTAAAAAGAATGTTTGTTGAACATCCAGAAGGCGAGTAATTTGTGTGTGGCTTTTTAGTTTCTTGGGGGGTTTAAGCTTTGTAAATCTGCAGCTAAACTTTTTTTTTCTTTTTCATGGGGTAGATGAAACTCTGATGATAAATGTTCTATGTGGCATTCTTTCGGGAGTAATTTCATCATCTATTGCCAACCCAACAGATGTCTTAAAGGTAATTATGTATTTGTAATTGTAATGTGTATGGAGTTTGTCCTTAGTGTCGTCTTTGTTTTCGTTGAGGATTTGCAGAATCTCCTTTGACTTAACAGTCACCTCTAATGAAAAAGTAAGAAAATTCTTCTGCTTGTAATTGAGAAGTGTGGTTTTCTAAAACCACTGTGAAATTCATCCTTCCTAGGTTAGTGTGGTTATTTAGAGGCATTTCTAATGGAACCTTTTGCTTTAAGCGTAGCATCAATTAATTGTCTCCCAGTGTGGTGTCTGTTTTTGGCTCTATTTGGATTTCAGCAAAGCTTTCAATACTGTCTCTCATGGTATCATGAGACAAGATGTCTAACTAGACAAGTGCATAATGGGATGGTTAAACAGTTGGCAGATGGGTTGGGCTCAAAGGGCTCTAAATGAGGTTCCATGAGGCTACTGACCAGTCATGGTGGGTTTCTCCAGGACTCAATTTTAGGACCAGTTCTCTTCAACATTTTTACAGATAATCTGGATACAGGTGTTGAATGCACAGTAAGCAAGTCTGATCCCCAATTAATTGGGGTGGTGGACTCCTTCAAGAGTAGAGAGGCCTGGAAGGAGATCTCAGCAGATGAGAGTGCAGAGTGATCACCAACTGTATGATTAGTAGCCAAAGTCTTCATCTTTTTTACTTTCCATTTTGAGGTGTTCTTATGAGAGCACTATGAGGGACATCTTGCACGAGCCATCTGCCCGTCTAATCTAAATGGTGTAATGTCCAAGTACAGAAATAGAGGTGACTTAATGCAGCTAAAAACTACACCTCATACTGATTCAAAATTAGCATTGTGGTAATGCCAGCTATCAATTTGTATTCAGAGAAATTGACTTTGTTGTTTCAGAGACTGTAACTTACTGTGTTTTAAAAACTGTCTTAAACTATTATTGATCTTCTGATCAAAAAAGTATTTATACTCTATTTTGGTCTTCAAATAATCTCAGATCAGAATGCAAGCCCAAGGCAGTGTGATTCAAGGAGGAATGATGTGCAACTTTATTCAGATCTATCAAAATGAAGGAACTAAAGGATTGTGGAAGGCAAGTGTTTTGAACCATATCCTACATTTTCAGTATACTTTGCTCAACTGTATTTCATCTATAGTATTCTCAAACAAAACATAGATATGCAGGTAGCTAAGATGCATGTGGTTTGTCTTGACTGTTTCACTCCTGGTGTCTCAGTGACTTTTAAAGAATTTCTACCAGTCTTATATTCAACCATTAGTCAAGTCTTATTTTAAAAACATAAAAAAAAAAAAAAAAAAGGCTTAAGTTAGGGTGACTGTCTCTAGGGCTTATTTTTGCTTTGTAAAATATCTTGACTGTATTCTATGTCGTTAACAACAACAACTAAAAAAGTCAGCCAAACAAAAAAAACCAGCAGACAAACCAGAAACTCACGAATGAAACTAAAACAAATCACAAACGTTCAGAATATTGGGAAAGGAAGATGATAATGAACACGTTCTCTAGCTCAGGATTTCTTGTACTTAGTCTTGTAGGTCATCTGTTTTACTGCCTACTGTCAGTGACTAATGGAAGATTGTTTTGAAACAGCTGGAAAATAGAAATGGTTTTCTAAAAGCTTCTCCATCTGTTTTGCTTTTCTGCCCATCTTCCCCTGCTTGTTAATTTTGCAGCTAGTTTTAAGGGCAGCTGTTTTTGAGATCTTAGTTGACCATTGATGTAAATTTAGAGGTTAAGCAGAGAGATGGAGTAGCAAGAAGAGGCAGAAATCAACATTCATTCAAGCAGTATACAGTGTACCTGACAGATTTGTGATTTCTTGCTTTGTACTAGAAAAGATAGTATTTTCTGGTGGTGCATGAAGATGAATTATGCTTTTTTTTTTTTTCTTTTAAAAAAAACTCTTTAGGGGGTATCTCTGACAGCACAGAGAGCTGCTCTAGTTGTTGGAGTGGAATTGCCAGTATATGACTTCACCAAGAAGCAAATAATCATGTCTGGATATATGGGAGACACAGTGTATACTCACTTCCTGTAAGTTTGTCTAATTAAATCTGCTCCTGTAGGTCATTATTGGCTGTGTAGAATTAACCTTGATTTTATTTTGATTTTTTTTTTTTCCCTTCTGAGAAGATACCAATCCAGTTTTGTACAATCAGCTATAACTATATTTCCAGTGTGTTTATGCTTTTCAGTGTGATAGCACTTGAAATGACACATAATATGGAAGTTTATTTAGGATCTGAATTTAACTTTCTTTAGAATATGGAATTCTATTTTGTGGATGGTCTGAACCATGAAGATTTGAAAATTGAACTTGGAAGTACGAGTCAATTCTTATTTTAAGAGGTGCAAACATCTGTAAAAAGTGTATTTGTATAGGGTGTGTATTTGAAATCTTTGAAGATTAGGCATTGTAAATAAGAAGTGATTTTCATATCAGTTAGCTTATGTGTGGTTTTTTTTTTTAATAAGTATCAGAAGTGCTGATTTTTCTTTCTGTGGGAGGCTGAGTAGATTTTTGTGCTTTCTATAAGTATGGTAGGTCAAACTCTGTTATAACATTATTTTCTCAGCTCGAGTTTTACTTGTGGGCTAGCTGGAGCCCTAGCATCCAACCCAGTTGATGTGGTGAGAACACGCATGATGAATCAGGCAAGCCAGCCAAATGGGGGCCACTCAAACTACAAGGGTACTTTGGATTGCTTGTTACAAGTAAGTAGCTTGCATATCATCTTCAGTAGAAACTAGTGCCTGGACAATAATGTAGAACTTGAAATTCTGAGTTTATGTAGAAATTAATCCAAGTAACTTCTGTATGCTCAAGAGGGCTGCACTGCCTATATGCTTGGTGTGAAAAGCAGCTGCTGTTGTGGTGGGTGAGGAAAAACAGCTAGCTTATGTACATACAGTGAACAGTTTCAGTAATTAGATGAGAAGATTATTTAGCAGCACTGTTTTTTTACTTTATATGAAGTTTGGAAGTCAGGAATGTGACTTCTGCAAGGTATTTGAAAACTATTTCACAACAAAAATACCATTGTCCTTTCTTGCTTTGTGGTATGTTTGTACTGCTATGGCTGTGCCATAGAGATGGCTGCCATCCTAGGTACCTTCCAGTCAAGTAGGAGTGAGTAACAGGAAAGAGGTGAACATATCTCTTGGATCAGATTTTCTTATTACAGGTTTACTGCAGCACCCTGGAAGCAGATAAGTTAGGGTAAGTTTGACCTGGGAAAAGAAACCTGCAGTTGCTAGTGCTTGAACACACAGGTTTTATCATCTTCCTTTTGCAGTAGGTACTCCTGTAGAGGTTGAGAGTAGGCTGTGTTCCCCTTTGTCTGGGGATCCTGTTTTTACCTCTGTGTCCAAAGCAAGAAGTGGGAGGATTATGTGCATACTTCTTCACTTTTAATTTTCCTCACTAATTGAGTTATGTAAATATGTTCCTGTTTTGTTTTCCAGACCTTGAAGAACGAGGGCTTCTTTGCTCTCTATAAAGGGTTTTGGCCAAACTGGTTGAGACTTGGTCCTTGGAATATCATTGTATCCTTTTTAAAAGGAGTGCAAAACAGACTAAGCTAGCCTTGCAGCAGGTACTGAGAAGTTATCAGCTTAATGAACCATCATCTGGTGGATCATTTCCTTTGTCAGCTGCTCCCAGTCAGTCAGTATATATTATATATATATATATTCACAGTTGCACTGTGAATTGTACTGTATGATCTTGGAAACTATTTTTCTGTTATTCCCTCAATCTCGTACCTGTCCGTTCCCTTAGTTTGGTATTTAGTTTTAAATACAGTTGTCCAGATGAGTTCTGAATGGAGCTTATTTCTACAACTGGGGAAACAACTGGCCAGTTAACTTTGAAATCTTTTTCCATGTATCTTAGTCTAACTCAACTTTGTCTAGTTGTGTTTTACTGCCTGCTAATCAGAGCCCTTCAGAAAGTGACCTGGCAATAGTAATACTATTCCCATGAGCAGGCCTACTTTAGTTTATTGAAGCAGAGAAAAAAATCTCAGGGCTCTCACAGGGGTCTCCTGCCTCTTGTTCTCTTTTTAAGATTCTTAGGAACAGGGCTGGGAGAACCATTGGCATTACTAGTCTTGAAGTTTTCCACATACAGCAGTTCTCTGAAAGCAAGATTTTATTATGTTGTACTACCAACAATCAGCACTTTCTTTATAAAGGAAGGAAGGAGCAGTGGAAGGAAGTTTGATACACAGCACTGTCCTTTAGCAGAAACGTAACTCTTTTTCACTGTGTGAATAAGAAACAGTTCTCCTTAATGATTGTTTCAGTTCTTTGTGACATATGAACAGCTGAAGAAATTAGACTTGTGATGTCCTGACACATACACTGAATTCAGCTCACTGGCTTTAGAGCAACTTGCAAGTTACCTTGATTAGATCCAAGGAAGAGGTAATCAGAAGACTTTGGAGGAGAACCATCTAGAAGTGAAGTGACTTCACTGCAAACTCTGGCTTCTTTGGCATGGTGGTTTGCTCACATGGTTAAGTGGATGATGTGCACTATTTTTGAGTCTGAACCAAAAGAAAACACCAAAAACAGCAATGCAAAACGATGGAGACACTCACAAAAAGCAACTAAGACTGCTAAAATGCTGACATTGCACACAGATCTCCCCCCAAAAGGGTGGAGCAGCCTGAAAGTGATGCCATCTTTGCCTTAAAATGGGAATCACTAAAACCTTCCAAAAAGCAATCTTCCCCCATGTAGCACCCCCAGAAGGCTGCTTCCCTACTATAAAAACAAAACACAGCCTCCAAAAGCAGACACTTCCAGGAAGAATTTTTGTACCCCTCCGAAGTAGTCACTTACCCTAGAAAAGCTGGTGGTATTCTTCCCCAACCAAAAAAATAAAGAAATAAAAACAAATGAAGCAAAGATCTTCACTTCCTTGAAGATCTGCAGAAATCCAATCCTTTAAGGTGCAGACATACCCAATCCCCAAAAAAACCAGGAAACACATAGATGTGGCACTTAGGGACACAGGCATGGTGGTGTTGAGTTGACAGTTGGACTAGATGATCTTGGAGGTCTTCTCTGACCTTCATGGTTCTGTGTAATCTCTAAAAGCCCTGTCCCTCAAGTAATACCCCAGATAGACAACTCTTGCCCCAGTGGCTGCCTGCCCTGGGCTTGTGCTCACTGTGGCTGCCCCATGGATGGGCATCCCACCACAAGTTTGTGATTAGGAGGTGGGTTGTTAATAGCACACAAGGCCATTTCTCAGGTCAGATGGGTTTTGTGTATCTGCGTACGTCTGTGTTCACTGTAGTTGTCGCCATGCTGCAATTGAAATATTTGTAAATAGTTTTGTACAAACAATATATGTCTAACTTTTATTATGCGTATTAAAGATTTTGAAATAACCACGTAGTGGCTCTGAACTGCTTTCAGCTCTTTTCCAATGGGAGGAGGGGTGGGGGGGTAGCTCTTTAGATATCTTAGGGTCATTGCCAGCACTTGGGTCCCTCTGTTCCAGCAGGGACACTAAGAGCAGGGTGCACAGGTCTACATCCAGGACTTGGGGAAATGGCCACAAGTTGTACCAGAGGAGGTTTAGGTTTGATGTAAGGAATTTTGTTTTTTTTCAGAGAGTGGTCAGGCAATGGAATGGCTGCCCAGGGAGGTGGTGGAGTTGCCATCCCTGGTGGTGTTCAAGAGGTGTCTGGATGAGGAGCTACGAGATTTGGTTTAGTGCTTGTGGTAGCAGTGGTGGTGGGAGGGCGGTTGGACTGGATGATCTTGTAGGTCCTTTCCAACCTTGTGATTCTATGATTCTGTGGCTCTGGGAGATCTGCACGGAGGAACCTCGCAGCCTCAGGGCTCCCCTCTGTGCAGGGCTCCCCTGTGCAGGACTCCCCCGCGTCGGCCTCCCCGCCGGCAGGGGGCGCCCGCTCGCTTTCTCTCTCCCTTCCCTCCTCGCCACGCGGCCCGGCCCCCGGAAGCGCCGCCGCGTTCCGCCCCCCTCTCCGTTCCGTCCCGTCCCGTCCGCCGCCGCCAGCATGGAGGAGCCGCTACCGGCCCTCGAGCCGGCGGGGAGGGAGTCGCGGGACCGCCTGAGCCTCTGGGATCGCCGCCCGCACCCCGCTGCGCCGCTGAGCGACCGCCAGACCGACTCGGTGCTGGAGCTGAAGGCGGCGGCCGAGAACCTGCCGGTGCCGCCCGAGGTGAGGCGGCGGCGCGGCCTGGGCGGGGGAGGCGCGGCGCCACGTCGGCGGCTCCGGCCTCAGCGCGGCTCCCGCACGGCAGTGCCGGGCCTGCGCTGTGCCTGCCGGGCGCTACGGCGGGCCGGCTCCGCGCCGGTGGCGCTCGCAGCGAAGCCTGGCAGCCGCTCCCGTCACGAACCAGCGACCTGCGTGGCCTCAGGGCGTCCTCGCTGAGGTTCATCATCGTGGAGCTGCGTTTCTCGTGGCCTCTGGTTTTGATCCGGATAGGTTCTGTCACCGCTGTCAGTTCCTGGTACACAACCACAGCACGGCTGAGGCTGGCAGGGCCCTATGGGTCCCTCTGCTCCATCCCTGCCCCAGCAGGGACACCCAGAGCAGGGTGCCCAGGGCCACATCCAGGCGGCTCTGGGAGATCCCAAGGAGGAGACCCCACAGCCTCTGGGCAGCCTGTGCCAGTGCTCCGTCACTGCACAGCACAGAAGGGCTCCTGGTGTTCAGAGGGAACCTCCTGTGCTCCAGTTTGTGCCCATGGCCTCTGGTCCTTCCATCAGACACGACTGACAGAGAGCCTGGCTCTGTTCATTTGCACAATTTCCGACTGCTCCAGCAGCCAACATCAATCCAGTACCGGCATTTAGAAGCTCAGTGATTTGTTGTTGCCATGGAAGATGTGTTATCCCAGCCAGTTATAAAATGTCAGGCTCTGGAAAAGCAATGAGTTATTTATGAATGCTCGCTTGCCTCTGTGTCTACAAGGGAAAGTTCAGGTTGGGTGTTAGGAAAAATAATTTCTCCAAAAGAGTGGTGATGCAGTGACACAGCCTCCCCATGGAAGTTGGTGCAGTCACCATCCCTGGAGGTGTTCAAGAAATGTGCGGATGTGGCACTGAGGAATATGGGTTAGTAGGCAGGCAGGGATGGGGTAACAGTTGAACTAGATGATTTTAGAAGTGTTTTCCAGCCTAAATGACTCTGTGAAAGTGTAATAACATTATGGAATCACAGAATGGCCAGGGTTGGAAGGGACCTCGAGGATCATGAAGCTCTAACTCCCCTGCCAGATGCAGGGCCACCAACCTCCCCATTTAATACCAGACCAGGCTGCCCAGGGCCCCACCCAACCTGGCCTTGAACACCTCCAGGGATGGGGCATCCACAACCTCTCTGGGCAGCCTGTTCCAGCACCTCACCACTCTCTCTGTTTACATTTCCTGTGAGAGTTTCCGTATTTGAAGAGGATCATTTTGCAGGTTATAATACCATATAGCTATCCAAGTTAGCTATCAGCAAGTGTTTGAAAGGTTGCAGTGACAAAGGAGAGAGAGTAAGTCAATTCCTTCCTGAAATACACCTTTCATGCTTCCTGGTTCTTTTATGTGAGCTGTTGGTAACTGCATTAGTAAAAGCTGGCAGATATCCAGAATGATGTTAGGAGGATGTCCTGCTGTTGGAGGGTGTTCTTAAGGCTCGCCAACAGCTTTGCAACAAGACAGGTGACACATTTGACAGTTGGAACAATGTGAATGCAAAGACATTAAGGGCTCTTAATGGACTGTTTTTAACTTTTGATGAAGCGGTTTAGGACAGCAGTTCCTCAGCTGTTGGAAAAGGAGGCTCAGTAGTGGCCGCAGGAAAATCCCCAGCTGCCTATTTTGGGGAAAGGGTATATAGATAGTGAGCAAGATAAGTCAGGCTGTGTTTTAATCATAGAATGGCTTCGGTTGAAGGAGACCTTATAGACTGTTTATTTTCAACTCTCTTGCCATGGGCAGGGTTGCTGCCCATGAGATCAGGCTGCACAGGATCCCATCTGACCTGACTTTGAAAGCTTCTAGATACGGAGCACCCACAGCTTCTCTGGGCAGCCTGTGCCAGGGCCTCACCACCCTCTGAGTAAGGAGTTTCTTCCTGACATCTAGTGTAAATCTCTCTTCTTTTAGTTTAAATCCATTCTTCCTCTTCCTACAACTATCAAACCTGCATAAAATGTTGACCCCTCTCCTGCTTGTAAGCTCCCTTCAATTACTGGAAGACTGCAATGAGATCTCCACAGTGCCTTCTCTTTCCCAATATGAACAAACCTAAATCCCTCAAGCTTTCTTCACAGGAGAAGTTCTCCAGTCCTCTGAACATCTTTGTGTCCTCCTCTGGACCCACTCCCACAACTCCATGTCCTTTTTGTGCTGGGGGCCCCAGGCCTGGACACAGTACTCCAAATGGAGCCTCACTAAGGCAGAGCAGAGGGGGACAATGCCCTCCCTCACCCTCTCCCTGCTGCCACCCCTCTGTCGATTCAGCCCAGGATACTGCTGGCCTTCTGGGCTGCCTCTTGTCCAGCTTTTCATTAAGCAGGATTCTCAAATCTTTCTCCACTGGGCTGCTCTCAGTGACTTCTCCCAGTCCATACTCGTATCAGGGATTGCCTCAATCCAGGTGCAACACTTCACACTTGGCTTTGTTGACCCACACTAGGTTCTCATTTACCCACTTTCTGAGCTTGTTCAGGTCCCTCTGTGACATCCCTTCTTTCTATTGTATCAACCATACCACTCAGTTTGGTGTCATCAGCAAACTTGCTGAGGGTGCACTCGGTGTCACTGTCTGTGTCACTGATAAAGATGTTGAAGAGCACCGATCCCAAGACATATCCCAAGACAGTTTCATGTGAGAAACTGCTCATGATCAGTTTCCACTTGGGCATAAAGTCATTGACAACAACCCTCTGGCTGTGACAATCCAACAAATTCTTTATCCACCTAATAGTCCAGCCTTCAAATCTGTATCTCTGCAATTTAGATATAAGGATGTGGTGTGGGGCCATGTCAAAGGCCTTGGACTTTGCCTTTGATGTAGCCTTGGCCTAAGGCCCTGGTTTTTTAACATGTGAATCCTGGTTGCTCTTTCTTTGCCAGAATGGTATTATAATGAACATTTTACTGAGTAACCTTACAACCTTACAGAGAGCTGCCAGGTTGTTTTTAACACTGTTCTCTGCTTTTACGTTATTCTTATTATTCATATTCTCAGCACTAGGAAACATGCTTCAGTTGTCAAGTGAATCAAAAAGGTCTTATCCTAACAAAGATCACAGAACAGTCTTTGTTCTGCTAAGCTGTTCTCAGTGCATAAGCTGATTAATGGTCTCTAATCGTATTTAAACAAGATTTCTCACAATTTGCATGTTTCCATATTTTTATTACTTAGGAAAAAAAAAAAATCCTGGTGG